AAGGAACTGGCTGTGTTTAGAAGCGACCAATAGTGAGTGATCTAGATTTCCAACAATCAGTTCCTTGCCACAAGTCACTCTGGTGAGAACTATATCAACTTCTTGCAAGAGCTGACTCAATTACCTTGCACTGGGTCCTACCTTTTAAAGATTCTGCCACTTTAACAACACTACAATGTGGACCAAGTTTCCAGCACATAAACCTTTGGGTGATACACTCAAGGCACATCCAAGCCATAGTAATTCTCAAGTTAACTAGGACTAAGATGTCAAAGAAAAGAGAAAATAGGCAAAGATGAAATATTTCAATTATAAAGCTATTAAAAAAACAAAACCAAAAACAGACAGACTACTGGGCACAGTGGTTCAGCCCTGTAATCCCAGTGACTAAGGAGGCTGAAGCAGGAGGATCACAAGTTCAAGGCCATCCTTGGCAACACAGCAAGACCCTAAGCAACTTAGTGGAACCATGTTTCAAATTTAAAAAAGTAAAAAGGTCCAGGGACATGGCTCAGTGGTAAAGTGTCCCTGGGTTCAATCCCCAGTAGCCCCACCCCCACCCCACCCCCCGTACACTTTAGAACTATACAATTCAGTGTCTGATATTAAGAACTTATCAAATAGGTTTGAAAGAAAATTGTACACATTAATTCTATTTCTCTAGAAGATAAGATTCTTGAACGCAAAAATGGCAAATAGAAAATATACCAGCTACAGCCCAGAGAAGAAAAAATGAATGCACAAAAGAAAGCAGGGAAGACAGACACTGGAGACAAGCAAAAAGGTCTACCAGTATGTGTAACTGAAGTCTCAGAAGGGGAAAGAATAGAAACAACAGACTTTGGAGAAACAATAATTGACAATTTTTAAGTCTTCTATATATATATATTTAATTATAGTGGACACAATACCTTTATTTTATTTATCTGTACATGGTGCTGAGGATCGAACCCAGTGCCTCACATATTTGAGGCAAGTGCTCTGCTATTGAGCCACATTAAAGACACCAACAGATTTCAGAAACTAAGAAAACTAGGATAAGGCTGTGGCTTAGGGGTAACGCACTTGCCTGGAAAGTGTGAGGCACTAGGTTCGATCCTCAGCACCACATATAAGTAAATAAAAAGATAAAGGTCCATTGACAACTAAAAAAAAATTAAAAGAAAAACCTAAGAAAACCTTACATAGGACAAATACTTACGAATCATTCAAATGGCTGAAAACCAAATACAAAAGGGAAAACAAATCTTTTAAAAGCAGGCTTCTATGGTGTGACCTTCCATCACTTCTCTGACTTAATCTCTTGGGACTAACTTAATCACTCCCTTCCTTGAACACATCAACCACAGTCTTCCTTTAGAGCTCTTGCAGCCATCGATTCCTCTGCCTGGAACATTCTTCCCATCTTTTGAAGATTTTGTACAAATGATGTTTTTTCACTGAGGCCTAAATTTAAAAGCACATCCCATCCCCCACCCACTCGTGCACCTCAACCCTGGTCCATCACACCCTCAGGCTCCCAATCACCCTCTATGACTCACTTTTCCCATAGCCCTTTTCACCTACTAACACATAACCTGCTTACTTTATTTAATGTCTATTTCCATCCAAATGTTATCTCTGCAAGGACAGAGATCTTTGTTTTGTTCACTGTTGTATCCCTACTATCTTCAACGGTGCCATGCACACACTTCAATGATTATCTATTAATGTTAGGTATTATTGTATTATTACAGAAATTTTAGTCACCAAATAACCTATCATGCCATGCAGTCTAATATGCTCTAGCTTTAGAAAAGTCTTTGGCATTTAGGCTGGCCTATCTGGTGTCTGGAGTGAAATCTTTGGCTAGGGTCTCTGATGGCATCTGGTCTCTGAGGGTCCTGGAGTTGAGTAAAGAGTAGCGACACACATTGGGGAATGGCAGAGTGCTCTTATGGGAATGCAGTGTGTCCAGCAAATTCTAGATAGACAGAGCTGTGCAGAGCTGGGCAACAGGACTCGGGCTCCAGCAATGTCTCCTTCTCTTTGGTATCAGTATAAGTTAAGCAGGGTACATTTTAGCTTAAAGTCACTTTTGTCTCAACCAATAGATAGATCCCTCCTTCTGACCCAAATTGTGGGGAACATTTGTCTTAATTTTCACCCAGGACTGCTCTTCTATCAGTAAGTTCTTCAAAATCTACAGGTGTGTATCTCCAAAATAAAAATTGGCCCGGCTTCTGTAGAAGTAGGTAGTGCTCTTGAGTGAAAAATTTAAATAATAATTATGAAGTCTTAAAATACATGCTAACCCAGACCTTTCTCAAAAAAAAAAAAAAAAAAAAAAAGAAAAGAAAAAGAAAAGTCTTTGGTATGTGACAAAGGAGTTGTACAATGCAGTAGTTGAAAAGCAGACTCTGTAGCTCAGGAGACTGAGGCAGGAGGACTGTGAGTTCAAAGACAGCCTCAGCAGAGCGAGGCACTAAACAACTCAGTCCAGTGAACATGGACTGAATCCTGGTTCTATCACTTCAGCTATATGACTTGGTAGAAATTCATCTTTCTGTGCTTTGTTTCCATAAAGTTGGTAGTAGCATTAAATGTGTTGATAGATGCAAGATGCTTAGAATTTATGAATACTATATATTTGATATTCTAATTATTGCTACTATGTGATTAGTTGTGATTTAATCAGAATTGTACAGAGCAAAGGTAAACAATGAATTTTTTTTTTTTTGGATATATTAACTAACCTAGTTGTCATAGCACACAATGGGTTCTATAAAACAAGGCTTACCAAATTTGCTGTGTTATCAGCTGGAATTCATTTTACTGCCAATAACAGATTTCTGATTAGTAACAGCTTATACAAATAGGCACTTATTTACAAGAATTCACAAGGATTCATTATGTCAGCAGCTTAAAAACATCAGGGCTCTGGACTACTGTCTCGGCAGCTCAACTTCCTCTTTAGGGATACAAGTTCTAGACATCATGTCTTCTCACAACCACATTTAGGCAGGAAGAACATGGTAGAAAAAAACGTTTTCTTTTTGCCAGTAAGACTAATCTTTCCTAGAATCTCCCAGTGGAGCTGGCTAGCACCAGTTACAAGAGAAGCTAAGAGAGAACATGACAATAGAGTATGGTATTATGGTAGCTAAAAAGCAGCAGATGGGATGAAAATGGCTTTTTGGCACATGCAACCAATTGCATGCAGTAGCTGATGATCAGAATCACCTAAGGACTTGGAGGGAAAATATGGGGCAATAATTCAGACAAAGGAATCACAATATCCCAGGAATAAGATTTTTCTTAAAAGCTCATCATATGAATTTAATGAGAATTCAGAACTTCTGTAATAAAGTACTGTAATATTTTAGAATATGTGATGCTAAAATATTAAGGAGGGATAAGCTAATTCACTATATTAAACTGATATTCATTATTTTAAAATAAAACAAGGTCTTCATTTTGTTTTTATGTGCCGAGTTCCAAAAAAAAAACAAAAAAACAGTTTTGAGGTTAGAATAATTCTTAAAGAAATATAAAGGAAGTATAACAAAGTCTGTTTACAAAACAAAGCAAAAGCCAGGTGTGATGGGGCAAATACATAATCCCAGGAGCAGGAGGCTGAGGCAGGGAGATGGAAAGTTCAAGGCCAGCTTCAGCAACCAAGCAAGGCTGTAATCAATTTAGCAAGACAACGTCTCAAAATTAAAAAAAAAAAAAAAAAAAAGGCTTGGGATTTGTCTCAGTGGTTAAGTGCCCATGGGTTCAATCTCTAGTACCAGGGGAATAAAACAAAGGGAACAAAACACAACAAATTTTCTTACTATTAAAGAATAAAATGCAGCTATTGATATATGTTACTAGGTGATGCTCTGAGGAATTACAAGCATTCACATGGGAAAGAATTTATGCTAATCAAATCATAAGTTAGTTGGCTCTTTAATCACAAAAGTTAAATAAATCTATATATAAAAAGGGACGAAAATAGATACCAAAATAAATTTATATAAAAAGGAAAGCCACACAAGTTAATAAAGAAACTTTTGTGAGACTAGAAGCTTAGAATATTGAGATATCTAAATCATGAACATGATATTTCTGTTTATTCATTTTGTACTGGGAATTGAATCCAGGGATGTGTAACCATTGAGCCACATCCCCTACCCTTTTCATAGTTGCTGATGCTGATCTTGAGGCTGAACTTGGAACTCATAATCCTCCTGCCTTAGCCTCCTGAGCTTCATTTATTTTTGTCTGTTTTCTTCAAAATCTTTTTTCTTTTAGTTGTAATTGTACACAATCTTTATTTATTTATTTTTATATGGTGCTGGGGCTCGAACCCAGTGCCTTGCCCGTGCTAGGTGGGTGCTCTACCGCTGAGTCACAACCCCAGCTCCTCTTTATTTAATATCTTGATAAGATTTTATATTTTGGTTGACAGTTCTTGAGGACTTTTTATTTATTCCTAGGTAACATTTTTTTTTTTAATATTTTTTAGTTCTCGTTGAACACAACATCTTTGTTGGTATGTGGTGCTGAGGATCGAACCCGGGCCGCACGCATGCCAGGCGAGCACGATACCGCTTGAGCCACATCCCCAGCCCCAAGGTAACATTTTTTGACGCAACTGAGATGTTATCTGTATATTTACTTTCTTTACAACAAAATAAGGTAAATTGACATTATTAATTCAGTATACCTTTTTAAAAATAACATTATTATACTTAACAAAGTTATTTCTTAGCATTATCTACTAGGAAAAAATTACTAGTAAACATAAAAAGGGGATCTGAGTTATTAATAATTCTGGAAATACAATTAACAATAACACAAGGAGATACTGTTGTACACATATCAAATTGGCATAAATTTAAATTTTTGATACTAAGCATCAGAAAGGATGCAGAGCACAGAAACAGTAATATGTTGCTGAGTGAAGGGAGAATAACTGTACCTCTGGAAAAAGTTTCATGCTATATAGGAAAATTGAAGATGCATACACCTGATTTCTTTTTGCATACACCTGATTTCTTTTATTGATATATACCTAACAGAAATGCATATATGTACCAAGAGACACATATAACAGTGTTTATACCAATATTGCTTACAATAGGAAAAATGTGAATTAACTCAAATGTCTTAACATTAGAAAAGATAAAGAAACTATGCTATGTAATTCCATAGAATAATATAAAATGAACTTTTGTAACAACATGAGTCAATCTCCCAAACTTTATAAAAATGAAAAAAAAGATGCAAAATAGTATGCATACTGCAAGTCTATTCACATACAGTTCAAAATCAAATCCTTACTTAGCACTGATTTTCAAATGGTTTTACAAATTAAAAATAAATATATGTCCACTTATGGAGCTATAAAGAAAACATGGTAAAATGCTAACATTTGAAATCTAGGTGAAGACTATATAAAGGTTCATTGTACTACTTTGCTACCTTTCTGTAGGTTTGAAATGTTTCAAAATAAAAAGATAGGAAAGTTTAAGAATCAGACAAAGTGAATTTATATTGTTTAGTAGTAGTAAAATGACAAAGGAAATAATTATCAAAATTCAGGTTAGAGATGGATGTGGTGGCACATGCCTGTAATCACAGCAGCTTGGAAGGCTGAGGAACGAGGATCATGAGTTTGAAGCCAGCCTCAGCAATTTAGTGAGGTGCTAAACAGTTCACTGAGACCCTGTTTCTAATTAAATACAAAATAGGGCTGGGGATGTGGCTCAGTGGTCACGTGCCCCTGAGTTCAATCCCTGGCAACCCATTCCTGCTGACCCCCAAAAAATTCAGTGTTAGTGCCAACTCCGGGAAGAAGGATGAACTTGTGATGAGGGAGAGCTTCTTGGGGAGCTTCTGGTCCCAGCAGTTTCTTCATGCAGGTCTAAGTGTAAAACTCCCTTTTATAATTATTGAGTAAACTGTACATATAAATTGTATGCATTTTTCCTGGTTCTCAAGAGGAAAAAGGTACAACAGTGTGAAGGGGTAAATAAAAATGCTTTCAAAGGAAAATTGCTATACATTATTATAAAAAAACAAAGTAAGGGAGCTTTTATCAAGAGGACTATTTACTGATTTTTAATATTATTTATAATAATATCATCTTATTTTTACATGAGATAGTTCTTACATAACCACCGATTCTGAGTCTCATTTATTTTGATAACAAATACATTTATGTATTTAGGTAATACATTCTTGAATTTCTTTTTTTTTTTTTTTGAGAGAGAGGTGAGAGAGAGAGAGAGAGAGACAGAGAGAATTTTTAATATTTATTTTTTAGTTTTTGGTGGACACAATATCTTTCTTTGTATGTGGTGCTGAGGATCGAACCCGGGCCGCACGCATGCCAGGCAAGCGCGCTACCGCTTGAACCACATCCCCAGCCCCGGTAATACATTCTTTTAAGTAATTCTCATGAACTACAACAGGATACCACAATATGTATTTTTGCTGATATTATTCTAATTTATGCAACCTAAAAAATTTGTTATAAAAAACTCTGGATGAAAGCTTTATAATGTTTGATAATTATTCAAATATTTTACACAGTTTATATTGTTCATACATATATTTTATGTATTTTCTATAGTTTTTCTTATTTCCTCATTAGGATTTCACAATATTTTTGGTAAGCCTCTCAAATGCAAAAGTTGGTCAAAATTTCACATTCTTTAACTTGAGTCATTAATCCACTTGATTATTATCTGTATCATCTAAATAAATATCAAAATCTAAATCAGCATCACTTTCTTCATGGCTTTTGCTGTTTCTTGTATGTTTGTAACTTTCATTATTTTCAGTCTTTTCTGGATCTTTATTAAACCTAAAGATAGAAGAAAAAACATTCTAATTATTTCTCAACCATGCAGGTTGAAGAGACCTTTACCACTACATTTCTTTCCTTTTTTTAAAAAAAAAAATACTGTTTTAGTTGTAGAAGGACACAATACCTTTATTTATTTATTTATTTATCTTTATGTGGTGCTATGAATTGAATCCAGTGCCTCACATGTATGAGGCAAGCACTCTACCACACTGAGCTGCAGCCCCAGCCCACCACTACATTTCTTTCTTTCTTTCTTTCTTTCTTTTTTTTTTTTTGTGGTGCTGGGGACCACCACTACATTTCTAAAGGAGCTTAATAAAATAAGTACAGAGAACAGGTTCTTGAAAACTAACTTAGGATTCAACTAATTATAATACTGTTGCAATAGAATAGGCTCTAAGAAATTAATAAAAGGTATCCTTTGAAGGAAAGTTGTTACATAATGAGCAATTCTTTTTCAATAAATGTGAACCTCACAGCTAAACATCTGATGTTCTTAAAAACATAAAGAGTCACTTTTATTGTAATAATAGAAAAATTTAACAAAATAGTGACTCTTTTTCTATAGGTAGAAAAATGTCTACATTAGTGTGATAGGTTGTAGCTTCAGACAATAGTTACTTAATGTCTCAATAAAAGAAAATTTAGCCTGGTGCAGTGATACACCCTGGTAATCCTGGTGGCTTAGGAGGCTAAGGCAGTAAGATCATGAGTTCAAAGACAGCCTCAGCAAAAAGTGAGGTGCTAAGCAACTCAGTGAGACCCTGTCTGTAAATAAAACACAAACTAGGGCTGGGGATGTGGCTCAGTGGTTGAGTGCCCCCGAGTTCAATCCCAGTAACCCCCTTACTCCAAAAAACGAAAGTTCATATATCAATTACTAAGAATAAAATCTAAATGTAAAAGGAAATACTCACGGAATAACAATGTCTTCTTTCTTTCCACATTTTGCACAAACTTCAAGCTCAGAGGCACATGGTCTACACATTATGTGGTAAGAATCCTTCACTGTCTTTTGTAAGCATTTAACACTAAAAGTGAAAGGGAAAAATCAAATATTAACTTTTACTAATTAAGATTCAGTTGATGAACTAAGGGTATAACTAAATGAATGGATGAGAATCTAAAAATCAAAACTCTTACATTTCGATCTCAGATATTTATTTTATATTATTTTAAAATTACATATTCAGCTTTTCTAGATAACAGTTACAGCTGCAGAACAGTATTGATGTTTATCTACTTTCTTAAAGCTTTCTAAGTGTTATTAAAACATGTCATCTGGGTGTGGTGGTGCACGCTTATAATCCCAGTGGTTTCAAGGCTGAGACAAGAGGATCACCAGTTCAAAGCGAGCCTTAGCAACTTAGTAAGGTTCTAAGCAACTCAGTGAGATCCTGTCTCTAAATAAAATACAAAATAGGGCTGGGGATGTGGCTCATGGTTGAGTGCCCCTGAGTTCAATCCCTGGTCCAAAAAAAAAAAAATATATATATATATATATACACACAAAATCAATTGCATTTCTATACACTACCAACAAAATAATTCACTACAAAACATCACTGAAAGAAACTAAAGACCTAACGATCTGGAAAGATTCCCATATTTATAGAATAGAACACTTAATATAGGCAAGAAGGCAATACTCCCTGTATTAACATAGAGACTCAATGGCATTATAAAAATTCTGCCTGGCTTTTTTTTTTTTTTCCTTTCACAAATTGGCAGGATAAGGTGTTTCCATAGTGTAGTGGTTATCACGTTCGCCTCACAAATTGGCAGGATGATCCTACAGTTCATACAGGGAAACTTTATTTTACTGTGCTTTGTTTTATTGTGCTTCACAGATACTGTTATTTACAAATTGAAGGTTTGTGGCAACCCTGGGTCAAGCACATAGTGTCTCTGTGTCACATTTTGGTAATTTCTATAAAATTTCAAACTTTTTCATTATACTTATATTTGGTGTGGTGATCTGGTTTTGGAGATCTTTGATGTAATGATGGCAATTGTGTGGGGATGCCAACCATAGTACCAATATAAAACAACAAACTGAAATGATAAATATTGTGTAAGTTCTGACTGCTCCACTAATGAGTTATTCCCTGTCTCACTTCTCTTCTTCAGGTTCCCTAACTCCATGAGACACAAGAGTATTGAAATTAGGCCAATGAATAACCCAAAAATGGCCTTGAACTGTTCAAGTAAAAAGAAAAGTCACAGCTCTTTCACTTTAAATCAAAAGCTAGAAATCATTAAGCCTTTTTTAGTGAGGAAGACATGGTAAGCTGACCTGATTGAAAGCTAGGCCTCTTGTACCAGTTAGCCAAGTTACGAACATAAAGAACAAGTTCTTGAAGGAAATTAAGACTAATATTCCAGTGAACACAGGAATAAGAAAGTGACTCAGCCTTATGGCTGTTACAGAAAATGTTTGAGTGGTCTGGATAGAAGACAAACCAGCCACAAAACTCCCCCATCCCCAAACTAATTCACAGCAATGGCCCTAACCTGCTTCAATTCTATAATAGTTCCAAGAGGTGAGGAAACTGCAAAAGAAGTTTGAAGGTGGCAGAAAATGGTTCCTGAGGTTTAAGGAAAGAAGCCACCTCCTTAACATAAAAGTTCAAGGGGCAGCAGCAAGTGCTGATGCAGAAACCATAGCAAATTATGCAGAAGATCCAGCAAAAATAATTGACTACAAAAGCTACAACAAACACCAGACTGTTTTCTCCTTCTCCTTCTTCTTTTTTGGTATTATGAATTGAACCGAGGGACACTTAACCCACTGAGCCATAGCCGAAGCCCTTTTTATTTTTTATTTTGAGACAAGATCTCGCTAAGTTGCTCACTAAATTGCTGAGGCCGATTTTAAACTGTAATCCTCCTGTCTTAGCCTACTGTCGCTGGGGTTATATGCGCCACCACAGTGCCAGGCCAGATTGTCAACATAGACAAAACATTCTCATATTGGAAGATGTCTTCTGTGACTTTCATAGCAGAAGAGGAGGAGCCAGTACCTGGCTTCAGAGCTTCAGAGAACAGGTTGAGTCTCTTTTTAGAGACTAATGCAACCAGTGATTTTAAGTTGAGGTCAATACTCACTTATCATTCCAAAAATCCTAGGTCCCTAAAGAATTATACTAAATCTACTCTGCTTGAGCTCTATAAATGGCACTAGAAAGCCTGGTGACAGCACAACTGTTTACAACAGGATTACTGAATATTTCAGGCCTGGTATTGAGACCTATTGCTCAGAAAAAAATAAAAATAAAAAAGATTTCTTTCAAAATATTACTGCTCATCAACATTGCACCTGTTCAATAGAGAATGTTGACAAAAGTGTAAAGGATACTTTTGTTGTTTTCATGCCCACTAACATAACATTCATTCTGTAGCCCATATAAGAAGGAGACATTTCAACTTTCAAGCCCTATTATTAAAGAAATACATTTCATAAGGCTACAGCTGCCACAGATGGTGATTCCTCTGATGGAACTAGGTAAAAGTAAATTGAAATCCTTCTGGAGAGGAGTTACCATTTTAGATGCCATTAAGAACATGGTTTATTGGAGTTCAAAATATTGCATTAATAGCCATATGGAAGAAGTTGACTGCAACCCTTATGGACACTTTCAGGAGTTTAAGTGGAAGAAGCAACTGCAGATGTGGCAGAAAAAGCAAGAGAACTAGAATTAGAACTGGAGCCTCACGATGTGACAGAACTGTTGCAATCTCATGATAAAACTTAATGGATGAGAAGTTGCTTCTAACAGATGAACAAATAAACTGATTTACTGAGATGGAATCTATTCCTGATGGAGATGCCATGAATATTGTGAAAATGATAACCAAGGATTAGGAACATTGTGAAAATGATAACCAAAGATTAAGAGTGTCACATAAACTTAGGTGATAAAGCCATTCCAGGGTAGGAGAGGACTGACTCCAATTTTGAAAGTTGCTTATATCTGGGTAAAATGCTATCAAACAGCACTTCATGCTTCAGAGAAATCTTTTGTGAAAGCAGGGGTCAGTCAATGCAGCAAACTTCCTTGTCTTAAGAAACTAGCACAGCTACCCTAACCTTCTGCTCCTATCATCATGACTAGTTAGAAGACATCAATATTAAAGGAAGACCCTCCACAAGCAAAAAGATCATGAGTTGCTGAAGGCTCATGTGAATTATACTAAATCTACTCATGTGATCATTAGGGTTTTTTTTAGTGCAAACAAGTATTTTATTTTTATTGGTTCTTTTTAGTTATGCATGACAGCAGAGTCCATTTTGATAAAATTATACATGCATGAAATATATCTTATTCTAATTAGGGTCCCAGTTTTGTGAATGTACATCATGGTGGGATTCACTGTATGGTATTCATATGTGTACACAGGAAAGTTATGTCAGATTCTTCCCATTGTTTTTCCTATTCCTATCCTTCCTCCCTTCCCTCATTCCCCTTTGTCTATTCAAAAGAACTTCTACTCCGCCCCCCTACCACTGCCCCCACCATTGTGGGTTAGCTTCTACACATCAGAGAAAACATCTGCCCTTTGGTCTTTTGGGATTGGCTTATTTCACTTAGCCTGATAGTCTCCAGATCAATCCATTTACTAGCAATTGTCATAAAGTCATAGTTCTTTAGGGATGAGTAATATTCCATTGTGTATATATCACCACAGTTTCTTTATCCATCCATCTGTTGATGGGCATCTAGGTTGGCTCCATAGGTTAGTACTGTGATTTGTGCAACTATAAACATTGATATGGCTGTGTCACTGTAGTATGCTGGTTTTAACTCCTTTGGATATATACTGGGGAGTGGGATAACTGAGTGAAATGATGATTCCATTAAGAAGTACTTTTTAATTAAAGTATGTACAATGTTTTTCTAGATGTAATGGTATTGTACACTTAACAGACTACCATACAGTATAAGCATAACTTTTACCTGGAAAACCAAAAAATTTGTGTGACTCATTTTATGGTAATATTTGCTTTGTTGTAGTAGACCATAACTGAGACCACAATGTCTCCAAGGCACCCAAAGAAATACTAGGCACTCAAGAGAGCCAAAACAATGTTGAAAAGGAAATATAAAATGGAAGGATTCATATTCCAGATTTCAAAACACACTGCAAACCTACAGTAAACCGGACTGTTTAATACTGCCAAAGGATAGATGTATACATCAACAAAATAGAATTCAGTCTTGAAATAAACCCTCACATTTTGATCAAATGTTTTTTGACTAGGATGCCAAGATAATACAATAGGGAAAGAATAGTCTTTTCAATAAATTGTGCAGGGCCAAGTAAATCTCCAGGTGCAAAAGAATGAAGTTTACCTCCACACTCTACTTCACACAAATTAACTCAAAATGGCTCAAAGGCCTAAATAGAAGAGCTACACATATAAACTCTTAAGAATAAAAGTAAAATCTAGAAAAAAAATCAAGGAGAAATCTTTGCAAACTTGAGTTAGGTAAAGTATTCTTTCATATGACATTAAGAGAATAAGTAACCAAACAAAAAAGTAGGTAAATATGACAACTGAAATTAAATACTTGTGCATTAAAGAAAATTATCAGCTAGGCATGGTGGTCTACCCGTAAGTCCCCACTTACAAAATCAGGAATTTGAGGCCAGCCTCAGCAACTTAGTAAGATCCCTGGAATCAAAAATAAAATTCAAAAGGCTGGTGATATATTTACTGACAGAGCGCCACTGAATTTAATCCCTAGTACCACAAAAACAAACAAGCAAAATCTCTGAAAAAATATTAGTAAATCAAACCCAGTAACATATATGTTGGCCAAGTGGGGTGTATTCTGGGAAAACAAAGATAATTCAATATTCAAGAACCATTAAATGTAGTTCATCAAATTATGTTTTAAGGAAGAAAAGCCACATGATGACCTCAAGAGATACAGAAAAAGCTTCATGTAACCAGGTGCAGTGGTACATACCTATAATTCCAGAGATTCAGAAGGCTGAGGCAGGAGGATCACAAGTTTAAGACCAG